TGTATCTCATAATTATGACTTAGCTATCTCATCTCATAATAATGAGATAGCTAAGTCATAATTATGAGATAGCTAAGTCATAATTATGAGATACAAGTTTTATTTATTTATTTCATCAGGGTGGCGGAAATGGGCTTCCATATTGATCTGTGTTACAAATTAAATGAATAAAGAACTACTACATACCATTTGGCATTTTTTTATTTTCTTTAGTGGCCAAACTGGACTTCCATACACAACAAACACTATTTAAAAGGTAATTAATCCATGCATGAAATTCCATTAGTTGCCTTAAATTCCAAGGTTTATTCGGGCCCTTTTCTGCTTTATGTTCTCTTGGGTTATATATTTAACATATTTTGTTTTATTTTATTTTATTTTTTAACTTTCAGGCTCTTTTCCTTGATTGTAGTTTTTGTGGGAACGGGTCGAGAACTATTACCTTTTAGCGCGGACTGTGTCGCTGTTGCTGGCTTTGGTATTCTTCCCCTTTAAAAAGCAAACACTGCTGCTGCTGCTGCTGCTGCCCTGGTGGCGGTGCATTATCCGGGCTCCATGGAGCAAGTCTGTGGAGCAGAAGGACAGGAAGGGGGGCACTAGCCCGAGCCGGAGCAGAGACAGAGGGATCATGGCGGCACCTCTCGGACGGGACACGCTACCTGACCACTGGTCGTACGGAGTTTGCAGAGATGGGCGGGTTTTCTTCATCAAGTGAGCCACTTTTAATGAACCGCGCTACTTTGACCCGGCCGAGGAAGTTTCATTAACCGTTCCCAGCTTTATTACCCTCCAGTAACAGGTGTCTTTTCTTCCTCGCAGCGATAAAACTCGGAGCACTACTTGGCTCCATCCGCGCACTGGTGAACCCGTTAACTCGGGACACATGATCCGGTCAGGTAGGCGACAAATTATCTGATTTGCAGYATTCCTGGGGGGGTTTGAAGGGGGGAGACAGACTGTTGCTGCAGTGTGTTCAGTGTGCTCTTTTTATAGATTTGCCAAGAGGCTGGGAAGAGGGCTTCACGGAGGAAGGAGCCAGTTACTTCATCAAGTGAGTGGGCAGATTTTTTTTTTCCTTTGCATTGCCTGATTGTGGGACAAAATAATTATCCTCAAACAGCTGATTGTTCTAGATCAGGGTGCTTTTTATGTGGATTGGATTTGGTCGCTTGATCTGTGTTGGTTTTAAAGACACACTATGTTATCTAAACAGAAAAAACAAACAAAAAACAAACAAAAAACACACATACACATCTAGATTAACACAGACGTGGTGAAACCAACCATCCCTGTCTGCAGTGTGAACGAAAAGTGACAAAAAACCTGGCAGGACAGGCAGAAAAAGCTATTAAAATTCACCTCACATCTGCCATGCAGGACCTCTACTTTCCATTAGATAGGTGTGCAGCCTGGTGTGTGTGTGTGTGTGTGTGTGTGTG